AACATCCTAGCGACCGCGGCGGCCGTTGCGTCCAAGGAGAACGCGACTCGCGTCGCCCGGTTATGACGTCAGAGGCCCGCGCCGCGAAGGCCCTCGCGTCCTCTGGCGGCCGGCCTTCTCAGACGCATAGAGATAGGAAAAGTGTAGAATCCCCTCGTACGGCGCCTGGCTGGGACGGGGCTTCCGGGTTCGCTTGGAACGCTTGCAACCCGGGCTGCAAAAGCGAAGCGGGATTTTGCGGCCGAGGCGCCGCTTTTCCGAGTGGAAGAAGCGCTGGAGGTTGTTGGTGCTGCCGGTTTTTAAATCGCCTTTTCTCAGACCTTGCAAAGGTTAGTTTTTAGGCCATGCAACTTCCCAGAATGAGTGCACGCCTGCCTGCATAGCCCCTGCTGCGAAGCCTTCGTCTTTCTCTGCCGTCCCGTGAGGTCTACTCAGAAGTAAGAGCCACCGAGTTCAGTGGCCAGGAAAGCCTAGGGTTACTTGCAACCAAGGGAACTTGTTTCAAATCGTTTCGCGTTTTTTAAAACCATTTACTGAATTTTTGTGATCCCTAAGTGAGAACACGAGTGAAAGAAACCCGAGAGAGAACGTGGACCCGATCCCCGAAAGCTCACGCAGAAACGCAACCGCCGTTTTTTAAGGTGCCCCAAAATTTGTTTTTCTTTTTTCTGATCTTCCTAAATTTGAGTGACTCTTTTACAACCTATTTTAAAAATCTAAAATGTATGCACCTTCAATCAGATTTCCTACGTGTGTGTGTGTGTGTGTGTGTTTATGGATTACTTTCCCCTTATTTCTGTCCTTTAAAAAATCATCCTACACAGAATCACAACATTTCCTTTCCTTCCCAGTGTATTAGTAGTCCATATGTTAAAAGCCCTGCTTCAAGACAGCGAGAGGATTGACCGCCTGCTTCAGATTGATAGGAACCGTTGCTATTATAGCGCTTGAGTATACCAAGTTTTAAAAAAAATGTCTGGATTCTGTGTCTGTAGCCGGGAGACCACCAGCAAGAAGGACGGGAATGAAAAGCGCACCCTCTCCGCCGGCAAGTGATGTGCGCGCCCCACGCAGCCCGTGGTGGTCCTGGGGGTGACACGGATCCCTCTTGATTAGCAGCCACTGGTGCCCCCCCCCCCGCGCTCCATAAATGCCTCTGGTCCCTCTTTGAAAGACATCCAAGTAGGGCATCACTACATCTTGTGGCAAGGAATCCCAGAGTCTCCTGCTCCAGCATCATGGCTGGGCTTCTACACAAAGTGTTCCTGTGTTTTTTAAACAAGTGGCTTTTTAAACATGAGAGATACCCAGGCCGCACCTCACACAGATTCCTTTGCTGAATGGGTCCTAAGTAGGAGTGGATCCATGCACGCAGCTCCCCCACACACACACACACCTCCCTGGAAGGGCACTGAGCATCCACATCAAAACCACAGGTCTTGGGGGGGGGGGAAGGCGGAAGCGTAGCACCGAGGGCACCCTCCTCTCCAGAGGCACCCCACTGGGTGTACCAAGAATGGGTTGCCATTTCTGAAGTGGACCCTGAAATACAGCTGCTAGTCTCAAATGGAGTTGTTGTGTTCTGTTATATGCTGAGAGTGAGCGCCCTTTTCTTCCGTCTCAGTTAAGTCCACCCTTTTTCCAGTAAGGAGAAAGATAAAATCTGCAGGGGGGTGGGGGAGAGAAACAACCAGGGAAGATTTCAAATGGATGCAATTTCGGGCATGCCTTCTCTAAAATACAAGGGTAATGAGGATAATGAGCCTCTACTCCCAAAGCAGTTGCGGGGGGTGGGTGGGAAATCACACACGGAAGTTGAGTGCAAAAAATAAATATAAAATTTATTAAAACACCCACAATAGTTTAAAGATATCAGGAATAATATATTTCACAAACCAGCTGGGTTGTGTAACATAATAAAATACAAATTAAAAAAAAGGAGGAGGATCCATACTTGCAATTTTTAGGCATCCTAAAAAATAAACTCAGCAAGACACTGAAAAGTGTGAAAGGGGGGGGGGAATACAAGGGGAGAAAATTATACAAAATAAAATTATCAGCATAAATTTACTGTACTAAGTATATCTACAGTTTAATACATAAGTCCTATTGCCTTGAGACATTGTAAATCTACTGTTTGTCAACCAACCCCAGATAAAACTTCATTTCAAGTAGCCACAGTCACAAATCAACAAAAGGAATCTTCAAGTGTGGTCCACGGGGACAGTAGGGGGGCTGGGGTGGCCTCCGCCAGAGGTCTTGCTTGCTGGAAGTGAATTCAAGGAGACAAGGAATCGAAGCACGCTGAGAAGTGGCAGCCCCAACAGCGGCGAATGGGCTTGCCAAACTGAACCTGTTATTTCCTCAGTTGAAAAAGCATTCAGATGATAGCTTTACACCTCTAATTTGTTTTACACACAAAAAATGCATGAAAAATAAACAGCAGAAGCCAGCTAGACAATACACATTTTCCAAACAGTTAATTGCAGTAAATAAATCCCAAGCAGTGGGTGCTTTAAAAAAAGGGGGGGGGGGAGAAGTAGCAAACAAAAAACACAAGTCTTTTTAAAAAAACAGATCCCTGATATTGGAACAGAAGACGACCTTGGCCAGTATTTTTTTACTATTCTTGGGCAAAAAAAGGATGTGAGACAGAGAATAGAAAAGCAGATCGGAACAGTGTAATCTCCCATTACATGAGCAAAATTGTCTACTGTCTTCCATAAGGTAACACATCCGGGAATGTGTGAATTTTAAATGATAGAAGTCCCAGATAGTTATATATATTCACATCTGCCAGTCCCCAGAGAGCACCTTTGAAAAGGAAGACCCTTTTTAGCTCCAGGCTTGATGAATAAAGCCCGAAGACCCTGCCTTTCTCAGATCAAATTTATTTCCCCTTAGAGAAACATCCGAGAATCTTACCATTCCAATGCGCTGAAGAGTGGCAGGTTTTTAATCATGCTGGCCAAACAGCTCTTTCAGAAG